TCACCCCATTGTAAAAAAAGGTATTCCTTATAGCAAGTTGGAATCTAAACACTTGTAACTTAAAACCATTGCTTCTTGTTAGAATAAAGAGTTTCTGATAAAGAGTTTGTCCCCATCTTTCTTGTAAACACCCTTTTGTACTAAAAGGAAGTCCAGTGTGCAATGTGCAGAGGATTACTGGACAGTATGCTTCACTGTCCATTCTCCAGGCAGCTCTTCTGGGATTTATAAAGGGATGCCCCCTTTATAATCCTATCCTGCTTCTGTGTTGATTGCCTGGTGAATGCTAGAGGAGCTTTGATAGAAATAGTAACAGTCCTTTTTACAAGAAGCTTATGAATCTTCTGCTTTCCTCTGAAGCCACATTGACTGGTGATAGAACCAGGTATAATCCAGCCATCAATTTTTACATTCACTCTCTCCCTGTCTCTGGGCAGGACTATGCGTTTCTGTTGGTATATGCCTTCGATGCTATGATTTCATTTTTCATCACCTTTAGTGATGATTAGCTTTGATTAATTCAGTTAAGGCCCATTGTCCCAGGAAAAAGAAAAACTGTTACATAAAATGTTAAGGTTTCTGCCTGAACAAAGCTAATAAATCCACATTGGTGTTCAGTAGAAGTCTAGGTCTTTAAACAGGTTAATTCCAAATTCACCCCAAAGATCTATTTTCAGATGAAGAATTCAGGTTTGAAATTATATTAGAGACACATTGAAAGCACAGGAGTAAGATACTCACCTGAAATCAACTAATGCTATTCTCTTCTCAGTGCTGCTGAGAAGTTTGCTTGTGACCTTCTGGCTCTGCCTTTATTGTCCACTGACTTTCATTCTGATAGCATAAAAAGATGTCAAAAACTGAACTGCCAATGGAAACTGAATTTATGGAGAAATATTGTAAACCACCAGCTGGCATTTTATGCCTTAATCTCAAGGAAGATTCTTGTCACTTTCACCACTGGTATATTGAAGCTAGGACACTGACTTATAAAAAGTCATCTTATTATTCCATTTTCTCATTGATAAACATGGCCAAAGAAGAGAAAAGAGAATCTACAGCAAAAATAACTTTCTTCATTTTCATGTAATTACTGATACAGAAAGATTGATAAAGGATTAATAGCCACATATATTTGTGGGTAGGAACAAGTGGAGAAGAGCTGGTACATTTAAATGATGTTCTAATCATCATCTAATGCTCTATGATTTTGTGTACTGCAGACATATGCAATAGTGAACTTGCACTTATCACTTGAGAGAGATTTACTCCCCTCCCCTCCCTTCCCCTTCCCTCCTTTGACAATCCTTCTCACAGATTACCCTCTGGTTTCTATCAATCATGCATGAATTTCTACATGTTTTAATTCTCTTAACAAATGAGTATGGGAGTCAAATTATTTCTTCCCTTCAAATCTCAGTAACCAAAATATTCAGACCTCTAGATGCTCCTAATGTGTGAACTTGTTCAGTGTTTCACCTTACAACTTTATAGCAAATAAGAGGGAAAAAATATCTTACAATTTTTAGAAGTTCTGTAGAAAATCTACAGAAAAAAAAATTATAAATCAGAAAAATATCCTTAATGCCCAATTTTAACCAAAGCACAAAATGCAATAAAATGGCATTAGAAGACATTAGTAGTTTAGTTTAGATGTAAATCATAAATTCTTCTTGAATGTGCAAACCAAAAATTAATTCCAACACTCAAAATCATTACGATATGAACAGGGCTTGATTTCATCTAGGTGGTGACAGCACCTGGTATCAGAATCATCAAAAGGATATCAGAATCATCAAAAGGATAGTGTGACTGTGGTGTAAGGTTGTTGCAACGTAGACTTTCTTAGATCTGTGTTTTCTCAGTGTACAAACTCCAGAAGAGGGTAGCATTGATGGAAAATTATACATGGCCTGACTGGCTGAACCCAAAGCTCTTTATGGGCAGGTAGGTTCTGGCATTTAACTTTGAAGAAAAAGCTGCTCTTGTCTGTAAGAAATCTCTTAAATCGAATACTGCTCTTACTGGGTAAATGCCAGGGAAGTAAATGAAACCTATAAATATAGCTACAGTAGAGCACTTCCAGGCTCCCAAACATCAAAAATGACATAAAATTCATACACAGTATGTCTACTGTAATGTCTTCTAATTAGGTGCTCTATCTTTTTTCACTGTTAGGTATCATGAATCTCTGCATGGTATCAAGGCTGGGAAGATTCCAATATCATCTGCCAAATTTCTTCTGGATGAACCTACTGCATTTAATTATCAAGCTTTTGTAAGAACATAGTAAAATTCCTTTTTTTCTAATACATTTTTGAAGTCTTGCTGTATCAGTAGCTTTCATATATAATGTTTATAAGATGACCAATTGCTAAAACAACTGACAACAAGATGAACTCACCTTGTCAATTTGTTTTCTAGAATTTGTATTAATATTTTGTTCTGAGATACTGGTTGTATAACATAAAGGATTCCCTACCAGGAATGCTCAATACTATTGGTCTTTTCCAGGGTTACCCCTTAAAGATAATGAGATAAATGTTTCCATCCTCCTCTGCTCCCACTTCTGCAAATCCAAATTCTGACAAGATTCACATAGTGTGCAGTATTATCTAATTTTTTTCAGGAGTGGAATAGAACTGGAGCTGTGGCAGATCTTGGATGTCAATTTACAGAAGATAATATCCTGCATTGTACATTTCTTGATTCTAAATCAAGTATGATTCTCACTTGGTGTTTTTCCTAGGTATCTGAATGGATATGTTACCTGTGGCATCATTACCACTGCTCTGCTGTCTATAGAAGAGATTAAATAGAATTTAGAGTCTCACAGCCCAAAGACTTGTGGAGTTCAGGAAGAATGTACAGCCAGATTTAACCTAAGGAAATAATGGCTCAGTCTCAGAACTTTCATGCATTTGGGATCAATATGTGCAGAATAATGTTACTTTTTTTGTATTTATTTTTCAGATACATTGAAGCTATAGTTTATATCACGAATAGTATATATAGTATTTCATCCTGATTGTTTCACATAAAGCTAAAACCCCTAAATACTTTCAAAACTTTTTCTGGTAGGAGAAAAATCTCAGGTAGTTATTAAAAATTAAAACTTGATGCTCCAGTGTTTATGATGAGATTTTTTTATAGCAAATACAAATTAATGCTTTTAATTTTTTCTTTTAATGAATTCATTAGATATTATTTGCAGGGGATTTTGTTTCTGTGTTTATTTTTCAGTGAAAACAAACCCCAAGTTTTTCACAGAATGACAGTTTTTCCTCCACACTGTTGGGAAAAAGTGCTTAACACCTTTCTAGCTTTCCATATGAGAAAAGAATTCTCTTTATTCGCTCATGAAATTAAAGAATACCCATTATCTGAGAAAGTGGTTCAAGATCAGACATAAGTATATTCCTCCATCTTTCTTCTTCATGAGCTCTTAGGAAGACAAATATTCCCCACATCTTCTTCTGTTTTCAGATTTGGGACTTTGAAATTATTTGAATTTCATGTCTTTTATTGCCAGCTTGCATTTTCACCTGCTTAAATGAAGCTGTTGGGGGAAGCAGTATATTAGACAGCAGTCACAGCACACATGCTGATAATGGTAACTTCACACATTCTCCTGCTGCCAGGGCAGTCATGTGAACTCACTATTCAGTGGAACAAAACCTATTTGTCACCATGCCTGTATCTCTATAACAAATTCCAAAATCAATCACTATAAAGCCTTAAATAATGTTTTAGCATATTGTTTTATAATTAGTGTTTCTGCCTTATTTTTTATGTATGTTTTTATTGCAGGTTGATAGTCTACTGCATTGCGTGAAAATTATTTTATTTCAAAATCAGATATTTTTCAGAACTAAGTACTATTTTGTGGCCCTTGATACTCTGACTTGGTATTCTCCCGTGGTCTTTTGCATATCTGCTGAGTTTCTTGCCAGAGAGTTTTTTCTGGGGCCAGGTGTTACTCAGTAAGAGCTAAGTTAGTAAAACTAAAGAGTAAAAGAGATGGCAGGCTTTTCCATGGCCTGTTAACCACTCAGGATTCACTGACACAAGCTTCAGTGGAATCTAACAGCCAAGTTCCAGCTAAACTCTAGAAGTAGTTTTTCAAGAAAAACTGACTGCCAGCACTGCATACTGAACAGACAGTCCTTAAACTCCACTCTGCTGTGGAAGTTCATGTGCACTTGCACTTAAGGTTTCAAAATTAAACGTTGTGATATATATGTGTTATACCCTGTTCTGGTATTGCTGGTGCTTTTCATACAAATATTGCAGGCTTTATCACAAATAAGTTGTGGTTGAACTGTTGAATTCTCTTTCTGAACTCCTGTGAGACTTCCCAGCTCTAGGAGTGAGAGGTCAGGGTGGTTTAAGGTGTGATATATTTTTGGTTGAGATGTGACAAATACAGTGAATAGATGAATGCTAATTCAGGCCATCATATTTAATTAGGGCATCAAGACTGGAATGCAGTCTTCACTCTGAAAATGAGCTTTCATGATCAAAGTACAGCTACCTTATTTAAATAATTTAAACGAAGATCAATTTTAATCAAAGATGATACTGAGTATTGCATATGAAAATTACTACTTTTTTCTTTCAGTTTTGATGTTACCGTGTAAATGAGCAATTCCCTTGTTCAGAGTTATGTGGCATCTAGCTGGTAATATTTATTTAGGGTGGAAAATTTGAATTAATATCTACTTAAAGGTGACTGCATGGCTAACACCCTCCATGTAGTAGTCAGAAATCTGTCTATCTATTCTATTCTGTTCAGTCTGAAATACATCTGATTCCAAATGCTTTAATTTTTCTTCTGTTACTGACTCAAACAATTATATATTTAGAGAAATTAGAAGATAAAAATGTGGTCAAATTATTTGCTTCAGAGAGCATAGATATTAATTAGGGTAAAATATATAATTGTGGGATAATTATTATTATTATTAATATTATTATTTTATTTTTTTTTTTTAGTTTCTGTGAGAAAAAAGATTTTAATCATAGATCTGTTCATGTGCAAACCTGGAAGAGCTCATGGATACAGGTACACAAAGAAATGCATTCATGTGCAGACATTCACAAACCCAGAAGTACACCTGACATCACAAAACAAATTCAAAACTCCTGATTTGGTTTAATAAAAAAAGGAGATGCATACAGAAACACATTTTTACTGGATGACACCACAGCCATGGAAAGTTTTCTATCGAAAAGATTCACAGCAGGTCATGCATGTAGATTTAAAGCTGTAGCCTTCTGAGGGCCAAAGTGTGCTTTTGTTCTGTTTATCCACCAGGAAATCCTAATCCATAAACTTGACTTCTTTCTGTGTCCACACAAGAGAAGAAACCTGAGCTGACCTGTTCAGCTGGTTGTAAACCACCATCCTATCTCACAAGTAGAACTGAATCCCAAAAGCCATTGTTGGTAATTTATTTCATTGTTTCTTTTAACCTTCATGTTCTGTTCTAGTTCACTCTCTGGACATTTAATACCTTGAGTGGTTGAAACTTTCTGAAGGCTATTGAATTATTTTTTCCAATATGCCACAGTTATGAATATTCAGGCAAAATTTCCAGTTCACCTCAGTACAGACCCTGAAAAAAAAAAGAAGAGCTATTATATCTAGCAAAGTGATGTCTGATCCATTCTTTCTGGCACTGAAGGCTGGCTTTTGTGGAATGCCACAGAACTTTCCACATCTCTGTTTTTAGTCTCAGTTTTATAATTTTCAAAACTTGAGAGTTTCTTAGTCAGCAAAGATTATTTCTTTTGATCACACTTATCCAATTTGGCAGAAGATTTGTCAAGCATCCCATAAAAAAGCCTGTTTGTACACTCAGTTATTGCTCCCTCTAACTGATCCATTTGTACTAAACAAAGGTGAGTTCTCCTCAGCTCAGTGTTAAATACCCCATTGCCTGGTTTCTCCCATATCTTGGCAATTTAATTAAAAAATTAAAAAAATTAAAGCAAAGTGTCAATCATGAGCTAAAATAATTCTTGCCATTGAGTCTTAAGAGATGTAAGCTTACAGCATGGAGGCCCAAATGTTGAATTGCTAGGACTGAAATCTGAGAAAACCTGGCATATTCCTTGGGTTCCTAAAGTTTCAGTGCAGGAAAAATAATTTGTCTTTTTATTTCAGAAAATTATTTTTTCCAGAAAAAGTAGCAGTAATAGTACAAATGCTTGTTTATATATATATATATATAATATATATGTAAAATATCATTTAAATAAATAAATATATATTATACACATATATATGTAATTTATACTGTGACAATCTCAGACTGCTTGTCATGTCAAATATATTCATTGTGACTATAACATTGTTTTTATTTTTAGAGAATATTATTGCTTATGGTGTCTCTACCCTATCAGAGTTTGGCTAGAAAAAGCCTATTTCAGCAGTTCCTCATTCTAAATAACTTCTTAGTAAAACTATAGACTACAAGGATATTTTGTATTAATTAGGGGCTCCAAGTCCACCCAGTAAAATAAATCAGCCAAATTTATCACATAACTCTCTATACAGTACCAAACAAACAAACAAACAAACAAACAAAAAAATAACCCCTGTAAGTCCTCAAAATTGAGAATTATCACCATGCTTCAGATGATAATAGTGGATAGCAGAATTAACCTTGAGTTTATTACTCAGAGATTGTAATTTCTTATTAATCTAAAATGTTACCTTCAATGAGAAGAAATAGTGATTTTTCAGAAGATTGTATTTACGTAAGTAAACTGTCACAATACCGGTAATATTTCAAAATCAGTCCTACTAAGAGGTAGTGAAAGTAAAGAAAACCCTCCTTCAAATCTGAGCACAAATAAGCAACATCCCCTAAAGACCTGGCATTTTTCAAGATGCAATAAAAAAATGCCTTTATAAGAAGAAGACAGAATGGGAAAAAGTGGGGCAAATGACGAGAAGGTTAAAGCTAAGCGGAACAGGCCTTTTTTTGCTTCATCTGAGCAGTGTGGATGTTTTCAGGGCTGAGCAGCAGTCCCCATCTAATCTTCCTGCAGAGACTGAAGAGCAAAAATGGAGGCACCAGTTTGCTTCCTTACATTTTGAGAGTGATTGACATTTTTTGCTGCCTGTGCCAGTCATGAGTGCTCACGTGATTTCTCAGTGTATTTAGAAGCACAGTGGGAAGGTTCACACATCTGACTAGGTACAAAGAATCAATTTACAGCAAAAGGAAACATCAGATATTGGCACTTAAGCAGCATAGCGGTAGATAACTTGGAAATACCTCAAGTAAATTGGAAAGGCCTAATGCTTAAAATTGTGGATGAAAAAGAACATTACTTCAGAGGTAATGTGCTTTTGGTCTTGACTGGTATTTGAGTACGTTTTAATCACATATTAGACTGAGAATAAAAAATATATGTACATGGCTCCTTTCCTGTAGCATCTGTGTGTTTATCAAAAACTAACAGCCCAAAAGTTTTCCTAATGATAGAAGAGATTTTTTATAACAATGCTAACATGAAGGTGTTCTTTTACAGAATTCTTCAGAGGTATTAACTTTATTTTCCTCTTGTCTCCCTTATGTTCTGTTGTCTGCAACACAAGTTTGTCCATGTCTTCCTCAGGTATTTAATAAATTTTTGCTCTCTTTACCTTCTTAATCCTTCCTCTGTACTTTGACATCATAGAAAAAATAATAAATTAAATGCATCCTGAAAATAAAAGGATCAGTACAATCCTCTGGAAAGTGTATTTTAATTTTTTGCTCTGATGTTAAAGCTGAATTTCTCTTAAAACATGATACAAAATTGTTTATAAAAGAACAAGTGTAGTTTCTTTAAAGTCTGGAAATGTGATTTCCCTTTTCTATGAGCACTTCAGGAATATAATATATAGAGCTGCACTGAGAAGCACGCAGAAAAGGTTTATACATCAGACTTATCCTTTCATGTGAACCCACTAAAAGCATGGAGTATGGCTCACCAAATATCCCTGAAATTGCCTGGATATGAGTAAAATATCATTTCACTACAGGATAAAGTGCTCAATTTAAAGTGCAAGTCTGGGCTCTAGGGTAATATTGACAAAGTGGAGTTATTATGAACTAAAACCTCTTTCTAGAAAACTGAGCAGATATACCCATAATCCTAAGAGGAGTATCTGCTTCCCTCGTGGTAGAAAAAGTGTATATCAGAGAATTCATTATTTGTACATAACAAGGTCTGTAAATGCATTTTATAAAAGCAAACCATAAAATATAGAGAATAACAGTGCAGGACTGAGAATCAAACTGGTTTCACAGATGTATTTTCTTGTGCCATGGAGATCATAAAATGGATATAATCCTTCACTGGGAATGTCTTCTTCCCAGAGGACTCTTCAGCTCAGGAGGCCTGGAGTAACCTGTGCCAGCATTCAGCCCCCAGATTAGGGGGGCTACCTGCATGAAGAGGGGACAGAGCCCTCAGCTGCAGTCACTTTAGTCTTCACAGAGCAGGAAGTAGATAAAGTGTCCTTTTTTGGTTCTTTTGAGGTAAGAAATCTCAATGCCAGAATTAATGTTGGAGTTTTCTTTAGCAGAAAAGGAGAATCAGCTGTGGTATTTGGAAAAACGTTGCATTTAAAGATATGGTCTAAAGGTAAAACATTACAGGGGTCACTGCACTTCTTGTTAATTTACCTTGAGGGAAAGCAGCTTCTCATGCAGGCACCCACCATTCTCTGCCTGAAGACACACTGGTGGATTTAAGACTATGTGGGATGAAGACCAGAGTGTGTACACCAATTGAATCCAGCTTGTGACTACACAAAAAAAAGAAAAAGGACCCTTTTAAAAAAAAGAATCAACTGACGAAATAAAAGTAAGGCAAAATTACATGTGCTGGGTAAACAATAGAGATATCTGATGAAAGGTGAGCCAGCAGTGATAAGCTGCTTAACAGTACATGACAAATGTATCTGTTTAAGCAAAGATGCACATTTTACCATTCCTCAGATCTCACAATTGCCAAGCATGGCTCCAATTTCTTGCTTTGCATTCCTGATCATACAAATTTCTGATTTGAGTCTCCTGTATAGGGAAGTGAACTTATAATAAATGACTGCCCGGGGGCAGGATTTTAGAGGAACCAGACAAGCTTTTATTTCTTAGTGGTTGCCTCTAAGCTCCTATGGTCACCTGCCACTTTTCAGAATTGCTGTTTTCAATTATGTGAACTGGAACTGATATCACTTTTCAAAGCCTTGTCAAAATTCCAGGTGCTGAAGGAGCTCCACTGAGGAGTTAGAGGCTGTGCACATGGCTCTGTACCTTTCTTCACTACCACACTGGATCCATCTGCATGTGTTGGACATCTAACAGCTGCTAGGCTTTGATTTTCTCCCTTCAATGCATCATGAATATTAAAACCTAATAACTTTAAGCTCAGTGCAGTATCCATTCAGACCAAAGAATTCAGACAGGCAATACCATTGGCTTGAGCCTGGCAGTAAGCTCATTTGGGTAGACACTGTTTCCACTGAGTTTTGCAATCCACCCTCTTCCTCTTACATGGTGAATGTATGTCCAGGTGATATTAGTGAAATAAGTGATATGCTCTAAATTCAAACACCAGCTCGCCTCAAGGTAACCATGTCATGTGATTCTGAACACAACTTTTTAATTTATTTTTACAGAATTTATTTTATCTCTTGGTGTTCCCACTGAAATTCATTGATATGAGGCAGTTTATTCTATATATTTTTATGTAAATAAATTACACATTTTGTAATAGAGTTTTGTAATGTTTTTAGTTACAACATAATGAAGAACAGAAAAACTGAGGGATAATTCTTAAGTAAATTTTACCATCTCCTTATCTGAAGAAATTAACAGGTTTCTAAGACTCACCTTACCTAGAATGAATGGTTTGTGTTCTTCAGGCTATTCTCCTGCAAAGCTGACTTTGGTCAGCTTCACAGTTTTACTGGTATTCCTTTTTTAACTAGGGAATTTTGAAGGATAAATCATGGCAGAAGGTAACATTAAATTATCTATTTTCCCCTGTCATTTCACCTCTTTAACATTCCTACTATTAATTTTTTCCATGCTGCCATATATAATGGCGAGGCCATGGTGATTGTCCTGTGGAATAGAGATGGTCCAAAGGAAAACTCTAGTGGAAAAAAAAAATAAAATGTACCTGAAATGAGATTGGTGGATAAGCAGGAGGAGCAGACTGAAAGGATGGAACACAGAACTGGTGCTACTGAAAGGGCCTTTCTCTTTCCAGAGGTACTCCTTGTATATTTGCACCACTTCCACTTCAGACTCTTCTACCTCATAGGTCAGTGTCACATAAATATCTCATTGCTTTGAATCTATAAAAACTAACTTCTGGAATCTCCTCATTTCCCTCCATTTACTGACATATATTCACTTAGCTGATCTTTTACAACTACATAAAATACAAATGGCATTCACTATGCCTGAACAAGGAAACATAAGGTAAGATACATATATATATACTAACATATAGTATAGTTATAGATATATATAGATACATATATAGATACATATATATATAACTAACTAAATAACTACATTCTGGTAGTTAAGTATTTTAAGATATTAATTGCAGACACCTGGAATAGACAGATATGTTGATATTGTAGAATATCAATATGTATAATCAATATGTATAATTGTCCTTAAGAGACTTTATGATACCAGTATTCTTAATCTTCTGCTTTATATATATATATATATCAAGTTTTATACTTTTAAGGTTAGCTTTGAGAGCTAGGGAAATTAAAACTGCTGGAGGCTGATGAGAGTTTTTTCTCTTGACTAATTAATAGCCATTTCTAAGAACTGGCAGTAATTTTAACTATTGAAAAGTGAGATCAACCTGTGAAAACCTACTTTAAGATGTAAGTCCAGGAATTTCTTGTTCTCTTTGGTTTCCAGCTTCTGATGAGGTAACTGGCTCTGTCTAGGTCTCCTCCTCCCCCCAGCCAGGCCAGACAAGGCTGCAGAAAGTGAGGGGGGAGAAACCTGGCTTGGTCTGTAGTTTTTACTGCTGAACTGAAACCTGACTCCATGAACATCTGCAGCTTTCCAAGACTTTAACTCTTTTACTACCTAAATGAGACTTGTAGATGAATTCTTTTTTCCCAGAGAGAGAGAAAAAATTATCAACATGTAAGAAAACACCATAAACCCATCAAAGACAGTAAAAAGAATTAAGTTTTAGAAAGAGAAAAGAGAATAAGAAGATACTTTAATAAGCTGAAATATTTTTCTGTTAAAGCTATGAAGATAGACAATAGTGTTCTAAAAAGAAACTGCTTTAATTCATGACAGAGTATATTAAGAAGAATAAAGTGTTTCAAAGTGTAGATTTTGAACAAATAGAGAAGTGGTTGTGATACTGTGAGATACTGGAACAGAGAGAAAAAAGTAATAGTTGAAGATTTGTGGCCTTTAAAAGGCAAAGAAAAACCTTCTGTTTCCAGAGAGGTTCACAAAAACAAATGAAGAAAACTTTTGCCTTTAAATAACTCATCCTTAAAAATTACATCCCCAGACTCATTTGACCCATAATACACCTCAAAGTGATGTAAAATAAGAAGAGTGAACTGATAGCAAAATTTCCAGGCAGCTGGCATCAGAGAAATAAAAAAACTATAAAAGAAATCATTTTTCTTGTGAAAAACTCCATAAATTAGAAGAAGACTTCTGTTTCTCTACAAAAACTGATGAAAAGATTATAGCAAAAATTGAGACTGTTTTAACTACCAAAGATTTTTTTTGTCTCTAGTTGTCATGTGAATAAAGAAATAGTTAGACAGTGAGGGAGAGAAGGGTTGTTCTAGAAGTTTTATTCTAGTTTCTTATTCTTGTAGTTTTTGTTAATAAACTTTCTTTATTCCTTTTAAAATTTAAACCTGTTTTGCTCTTGTTCTAATCCACATCTCCCAGCAAAAAAATAAGTTTTCTAGCGATTTTTTACTTGCTGCTTTAAAACCACAACATTTATTTAGTGCATTAGCCAAGAAATGAAATTGGCAAATCTAAACCACTACAATAATATACATATAATATATACATGTATAAATATATATATATTGATCTGTAGAATACTGTAGAATATATTGGAGATATTCAAGGTTACTTTGCCACTGAAGTTCCTACACTGTCACACTGCAACAGAAGTGTGAGAATGCAGTGGCACTACTAAATGTTACCCAGTATTTGAGGGCTTCTAGTCTTCTTTAAGCCAAGAGGCCATGAGACAAGTGGCATTTCAAAAGAATGCACTGCTGGATATGTTTAATATTGTATTTTCAATTACAGTTACAAGAAAAAGGTTAGAAAATGAGTCAGAGGGGTGTACACAAAACTGTCTACTAAACCATCAGGTGTCTAAAGTTTTCCATTTTTTTATCTTTCTATAATATAAATGATAGAAACATAAAATGGTTTAGGTAGGAAGAGACCTTAAAGATCATCTACCAATGAGCATGGACACCTTCTACATGATCAGGTAGAAAACATTACCATAAAGTAAAACATTCTATCATAAATGAAAAAACATATAAGCAAAAGAATGTATGAAGCATCTGTTGGATTTTATTATATATTGGGATTTTGTATCCCCTGAGAGTGAAATTTCACTCATCTCTAAGACAATGTGTGGGCTTAATTGCTTTTCCCACAATACTTCTGTACCAAGAGTTAATTTTATTTTAAAATTCCATCAAACAAGCTGGTTGCCATCTTGGTAAAAGTACCAAGCACTGCCATTCTTGTGTCCTTTCACTGGGGAGGCAACAGAGCTGGTTATCTTAAGAGGTATTTCCCCTGCACAGAACTTCAATGCCCAGCTGCTGGAGCTCTTACCACAGAGTCCTTAGCTGTGTTTTCAGCACGGGTGTGAGCCATGCCTTGGAGTGTCCTTTGGCTGTGTCTCTCAGGCTGGCATCTGGGAGCAGGAAGAGCCTCTTTGCTTTAGGCAGCACCAAGGGTGACACAGAGGTTGCAGCTTGCTTGCACTCGCAGAGCTGCGCAGCTCAAAAGAAACAGCAGCAGCATTAAAAATGGCATTTTAAAAAGTGTGCTAAGCATGTGCCAGTTTCCAGTTACATTTTTCTTCACTTAGAAAATAGGTCTTCCTTAGCAGTTTCATCTTCTTTCCTCTTGCAATTGCAAAATTAATTTGCTTTCATAGTTATTTACCTCAGAAAAATACCAAATATTATTATGGAAGAAAAAAGCAGGTAAGTGGTCCTTCTTGTAGCCTGACAACAGTGGCCATGGAACTTGTTCTAATAAATTCTTCAGAGAAAAAGGGGAGGAAATCCCCAGGATTTTAATTTGTATTATCCTTGTGAGTTGAGAATTGAACATTGAGAATTTGTGACAGTCTCACCCTTCTAGACCAGGTTGAAGTTGCAGAAAAATATCTTCTTCTCACAAAGCCTTAATCAGAAATTCATTCATGTCCGTGGAATTGCATTCAGTAAGCTTGGCACAGGTTTAGGGCCTGTGAAGCAGGGCTATTATATCTTTAACCACATAATTTACACATCCAAATAATATAGAATAGCATTGTGGTCTTACCTTAGTTCTTATCTAACCAATGCAAATAGGAATGGAAGTTCTGAGAGGTTTATCTTTTATGCACACTGCACCCCACTCCTTCAGTCCAGATTTCTTCTAATAAAGGATTTCCACAGGGAAATTTAAAGTGAAATAGGGACAAAAAATACAACAGAAAACTCAGCCACATTCAAGACATGGTGAAAGTTCTGTCACAAAGCAAATTTTCTTTTGTCTTATAATTTATATATTGTAAAAATTAGGACTATTAAGTTCTTTAATTTCTGACTGTTTTATCTTGAATCTGCATTCTCAAAAATGTCTGAACTAGAGGCAGTAGTATGATAAAGAAATGCTTTGGTACACCATGCCAACACACAAAGGCAAGATGAGATGCAGGATGCCAAAAAGCAGAAGCAGGAGGACTTGAGCTGTCTGTGCTGGATGAGGAAGCTGCTCAGCCTCTTCTGCCTGTCAACAATAATGGAATTGAGTTCCACACTGAAGATAATTGCCTGAAGTCATTCTCCAGCCACAGGGAAGGTAAGATTAATAAAGAACATTTGTTATAATTCTGCAACCAATTTATGTAATGGAACACATAATAAATAACCGCATACAGCACAAGCATTTATCATAGCCAGTTTATGTATCTATTTGTTCAATGTGTGTTAAACCAACCATTTGTATGAATAAGAGTGGTACTCTTTGTGTTCCTTTTTCTCTGTTAAATTAAAAATTATTGTTATTGAGGGTTTTTTGTTGTTGTTGTTGTTTTTGTTGTTGAGCTTTCTCTTTTGAGATTTTGTTGGGTTTTTTTTAGATACCGAAATGACACTGACACACACAAACTCCCCAGCAACTGAAATACAGGGTGAAGTTTTCCAAAAAACTGTATTTCTACCTGTTGCAATTGGAAGATTATTTGAACAAGGTATCCACAAGGACTGAAGCACTACTGCAGTCACACTGCTTGTATCTCCAAACAATATAGTTAGATTTGAAACGAAACAGCCTGTCACACCAGACACAGAAATTACTCTGTCCTAAAAATCTGATCCAGAGTTCTCTTCTGATAAAGAGAGTCTAATATGAAGGACAAAAGTCTTGTAAGTGCTACAGAAAGTAATTAGCTGGATTTGGTAAAATATTAAACCAAAGGATTTATTTCTGAATACTGAAAAAACAAAAGAAGATAAAATGTAGGTACATCTCTTGAATACCATTTAAAGAAAGAGAACTAGTATATTAAGTTTATTAAGTTTATCTTTCTTTCCATATCCATGTAATTCAGTGCAAAAATACATTCTTTAACCTACTTATTCTGTTATTATCATCTGTTTCATTAGGCCCTTCTGTCGTGATATGGTCTACAGTATTTGGTTTTCCACATCAGTAGCATTACTATGTGTATTTTGCAGATGATCCATTCTCTTAGATTATATGCTGCTGCAAATAAAATTATTTAAATGTGCCAGCTAACTGCCTGCATCTTTTTTATGCCATTCCACCTCTCTTCTGCAAGGTGACATTTTTCATTACAGTTTATTTTCCAGTGGTTGGTAGCACTTATAGCTCAAAGCTCAGATTACAGTCTAAAAATAGCGTAACCAGACTGCATCTATTGTTACTTAATAAGTGCCTAAAATATCAATCTGAGCTCTCCTCAGGCTGTTGCTTCCTCCTCATGCACTTTACACATGATCGCTGAATTATACAACCAAATTCTGTTTATTTAGAGTGGCTTTGTTCCAACCTCCACATATATAACATGAATTAGGCAATGAAAACTAGATACTGAGTTCTATAAATGAATAAATTCTCTGCTAATTTATGATGAAAAGAACTGAGACCCATCTTTTCCCCTTCTTTTCCACTGGCTTCATCTTTATACAATGAATACTTATATGGTAGCCCAAAGCAGCTCTGATAAGTTTTGAACAAAGAACTGTGAAAAGGATTTGTCTCTTTTTATTACATTCCTTTTACCAGAAAAGCTCTGACCAGTAGTCATAGTAAAGTGGAATAGGAAATAAAAAGAATCTTTTATTGTCCTATGAAGAGCCATAATCATGTTGTTTTCATCCTGAATAAAAAGTATTTTTGATTATTATGGTACAAGGAAAACAATTTTAGTAAGTAGATGTTGACTTCTTTTGAGATGCATATCATTATTTATTGATGGAATACATTAATGTGGAACAAGGGGAAGACAAAGTCAATATTTATGGTGAGGAAAAATAAACCAATGTTCAGTGAAACAAGCCATATGATCCTTGGTCAGGAAGACAATCTCCCTCTGATGTATCCAAGGCAGATATATAAATCTCATCACTTCCTTCAAGTCAAAACGTTAATTATAAATATAGAGGCCTACAAAGTTTATATCTGCTGTTAATTTATCCCAAACTGTCTCAGTAGTTCAGTATTTTTTCTATTTTTAGATATTAAGCTAAAATCA